GAGCCCCCCAAACCCCCCCCCCCCCCCCCCCCTCTACCCGAGAATTTTTTAATTAAAAACAGGTTTATTTTTAGGGTTGAGGCACCTTAGGGGTAGGGACCCGTGGACTTGGTTCAGCCAGTCCCTGTGCTAGTTGAGCCAGCCACGCACATAGACTAGCCTACTACGGGTGATGTTCTCTGATAATAGTACAGATGTTGATTCTTTCCCTCACTGAGAGTATAATATCCACCAGCCCTCGAGTCCCAACACACCGATTCTCCTTGCGTTTCTACCACGTACGGCAGATCTACCGGCGGTCTGCTTATAGCTCCGACGTAATCTCCGTCCGGTACGTACCAGTAGTAGACGTGGTATTTGTATTTGATCAACATTTCTTTTCCGTTCGGTGAAATGTCACCGCCGACCGGATCGTGTTTATGTCCGTCTTGCTTCAACGTCGCCGACGCTTGGACAGTCACTGCGTTACCGCTTCCCCACCCGGATTTGTCCAATCTGACGAGTTTACCGTGACCACCACTGACCTTTGACACCAGATAAATGTCCTCATTCGGAGTCACCATCACTGTTTCGCAATCTGGCTGATCCCATCTGAAAAACCAAAATTTAAAAAACCCATCTGGTATTGAGATAGCATGCGAATGAACTCAGTAGCGATAGCGATAGCGATACATTACTACTGCGTGGTAGCTCAGTACCTAAGAAGACTTTTACAATATCAATACGACCATACGATCTTGAATTTTGGACCCAGCAGTACTTACTTGAAATGCAGTTTAGAATCAACGTCTAAGCTTTGGTCCTTGATGGACTTGGGTTCCTTGACTCTATAGATGACGTTCTTAGCACCATCTTCACCATGATCACCAGTCTCAGCGATATAGATACACGAGCTGCCTCCACATGGACCAACAGCTACGTCTTCCCAATCATAGTTCTCCGCATGGCTGATTTTCAGGGTAGCTAGAGTCTGGGCTGTACTGGCGTCTATGGCGTAGATGACGCTGTTGCTACCCTTGTCGTTGTGGGTATACAGGACTCCTGGATGGATCCTGCTGGCTGCCAGTCCGGAAGCTTCTTGTATATTGTGATCTTTTACTGTACCCAGGACCTTTGCTGAGGTGAATGACGGTGACGCAAGAGCTGGAGCTGGAATTCAAATCGGGAGGTTTCTGAGTTAAGGGGAGGTCACCATCAGACTTTTGCAGACCGACTAAGGTTAGAACCAATAACCACCATTTGTTCGACGTAACCTAAAACAAAATGACGTAATGCTCGTCCTCCCAAGAAGATGTAAGAAATACCAGCTTACCTGCTGTGACTGTGACCAGAAGTCCAAGCAGTATTAGTTCCTGAAGATGCTGCATGATCACGTCACAAGATCCCAGTGATACAAGTCCTCTGAACTGTATCGGTATGTCCAACTTACAACTAGACTTCCCTTATATGAGATTTATCTAATCCAACCCAACAACGTATGTAATTTTGACACTGTTCATATCACTAAAGGAAATCGATAAACTTTGGGCTGATTTGTTTATCTTCGCTTAAATGTACTATTAAGGGATCATCTAGAGCCAATCCGCAAGACTCTTAAAACTAAAAATATTGGTACCATAGAGACCCTAGAACTAAGACCCAAGCATAAAACAAATACCCTATTGTACCCAAGAGTTAAGACCAAACCATAAGACTAAGACCCTCCTGTACCCTAGGGCTAAGACCCAAGCATAAAACAACGACCCTCCTGTACCCTAGAGCTAAAACCCAACCATGAAAGTCCTCCAAGACTCGATGTTTCTTTAAATCGTATCTTGTCCATATATTCCAAAGGTTGGTGCAATACACAAGTGAACAATTTTGTGTCGCTAAGATTTTTTCGTTTGACCTGACCGTGAACTGATTAAGTAAGCTATATTTCGTGTGGAAAGCTGTATATTCCAACCCACCCGATCAGTCGGCAAACCGGAAATAACATATCGCGCCAAAATGAGCATTATGTTTATTTTATGGATTTTTGGTTCCATACAACGAAACGATTTTAAAATCAACTTAATTCTTAAAGGGTACATTCAAATTGTAAATTGTTCGTTTCATCCAATTATGGACGAGGTTCTCTTGAAGTAATGAAGATCCGGCAACTTCCCTTCACTGATGGTATAATAGTCTATTCCCCGAGCGTCCCAACACACCGACTCTCCCCTCTTTTCCTTAATGATTGGCAACTCAATAGGAACACTAGTTACAGCCTTGATATAATCACCATCCGGTACGTGCCAATAGTACACATGCTGCTTGTATTTGATGAGCATCTCTTTGCCATCCAGCGAAATGTCTCCTCCTACGGGGTCGTGATGACTGGATGATTGGTTGAGGACTACTGAAGCTTCGGCGGCGACGGTTTTCCCACTTCCCCATGCGGTGTGAGAGAATTTGGCTAATCTGCCATGACCACCAACAACTTTAGAAACGGTGTAAACGTCTTCATTTGGTGTAATCATTACCGTTTCGCAATCCGGTTCACCCCACCTGCAAAAAGAATGGTTGATCATTTTAATCCAAGACACTAATGAAGAATAACATCATCATCATCATCATCATCATCATCATCAATCTCCGTCTGTAAAGACAGCTGATGGTATAGATGAGAATCCTCTTTTCCAGCTGGTCCTTGGCCAAAAGGGTCATAGCAATGATCTTCACCAGATTATTGTTACCCATTTACAGCTGTGTCGACTGAAATTATTAGGATCCTTACTTCCAGCTGGCCCTTAGCCAAAACATCTTAGCGTCATGACGGCAGGTCCACGGGTCAATGAAAAAGATCTTACTTGAAATGAAGCTGACTGTCCAACTGGAGGGTTTGGTTTTTCATGATGGCTGGTTCTCGCACTCTGTAGATGATGTTCTTAGCACCATCTTCAGCGTGGTCACCAGTTTCAGCTATATAGATGCATGAATTGCTTCCGCAGGGTCCCACAGCTAAATCTTCCCAGTCATAATTGTCCACACCGGCAATGGTCAGCATAGCAGCCATATGACAATTGGTGGTGTCCACAGCGAAGATCCTATTCGTATCGCCTTTATCGTTTTCCATGTAGAGTATCCCGGGATGAATTTGGCTGGCTGCGAGTCCGGAAGCCTCGTCGATCTCACGGTTGTCCAGCTTACATTTATTTATCCCGGAGTCGAACTTTAGGTCTGGAATGAAAGTTAGTTTGTATTTTCCTATTGTGTGTGTAGTATTGAGCAGCAATGGCAGGGGTGGCACCAGACAGAGTAAGCTTACTCTTCTAAACACCTGATATCACTTTTTTTAAAAAGTCTCCTCATTTGTGATTGACGTTGAATTGTTATTCTGAAGGTGGCACGAACAGCTGGAGCTGTGTCAGCAGTTAATCTTTTGACGACAATTACCGCTTTGAATGAAAAAAGCTTGGCTTACCTGCAGATTGAGCGCCACAAATTATAGCCACAAAAAGTCCAAGGTTTAAAAGCAACATTGCTAGTTTATAAGAGCACCAAATACTCTGCATGCACCGCCAGACTTCTGTGGAGAATTTTAAATGACCCCGGATTTATGGTCTGGTCTTTCTCACCACTGGATTGATAAGAAAGCCACGTGATAGCCTTCAATCAAGGCCGAACTATAGTGCTTTGTCCGCTAAAAAAAATCAGTACATAAATACCATCAGTCAATTGGACAATGCGATTTCCAACCAATGATATGGCAGCTTTAATATTCCGGATCTGGTTTAAAGAGCATTCACTTCGATGGGGGCTAACAAATTTTAACAAAATTTCAATGTATAACAGTATTATTCCCGCCAAAATTATCGGAAGTGTGTTTATATTGTTTTTGCACAGGTCAAAGTTCACATTTATTACAGCGTCAATGTGTTGCGACAAATTTCATCATTAATCGATCCGCCATTGGTGCTTTCTTCTTCACAGCTTGTTTCTCAGTCAGGATTTTTCTGTAATGAAAGGAAATGAACATAATCATTGTGGATGTTTCGTTTCATGTTTATCAGTAGGGGTACCTCACTTGTCATCTATGATCTGACACAAATGTTACGCATCTCGTGTTCTAGGTCAATTCATCTTCGACCAATCAAATGATCTGTTCAAATGAAGATAGTTGTCTGCTAAGCGACTAGCTGCCTTGGGTTCGAATCATCCTCAATGATCAGAAAAGATATAGCCTAATTCCATGACCAGTGCTTC